CCATTCCTGAATAAAGGGGAAAATAAAGTCAAATATAAAACACACAACGCCTATAACGTGTCCTTGATTTCAATCAGTGATAATCTCTCAAAGAAGACTTCCTGCAGAAGATTAAACACACATTATGATAACTGTTCTATAAGGCTCCTTACACTTAGTCATATCAAAATGTCGTAATCCAAACACAGACCTGCAATAGCACTCACTGTACACCTAAAGCCATTCATTTGGTATAACATCAATAATTTAACAATAACAATAAACTTGCGGATTTTTGGACTTCAGCTTTTTTATTGCTAATGTAGATTAGCATGTTTATTTAACAATGGAATGTTATTTTTAACATTGAGCAGGACTGTTGCGTAGAAAATAACACATACAAATGTTAAAGGCCGTTCAATATTTAAAACTACGCAATAAAACATAAAACATAAATAAGCAGACAAAAGTCCGAGATCAATAATACATGTAGGCATATAAAACTACTCTTAAAATGGAAAATATAAATATATAAGTCAGTAATAAATGTAGGTATAATAATATAGTAATAAATTAAGTCTATCCTATACCACTGAGTAATGAACATTACTAGATCCCTTAAAACTAAATTGGCACAGCGTATAAGCCTAATTGCATTTAAATACAGCTATAATCAACGTGATTGAAAAAAAAAATGTTAGTCTTATACTACATAACACTTAGGCTATGTATCTATAAAGTTCAGATAGGCTATAGGACAAATGTATAGCAAATAAAAATAATAATACACTCAAATAAATAAGTTATAACAATTATTTATTTTAATCCGTCTTATCACAATATTTACAATTTCTTATAATTAAGATAATAAATCGATTTACATTTTGGAACATCTTTTACACAACATGTTTCAGTTTTTATAAAACCATCCAAAATTGAAAAACAAATGGCATGAAACATCACCAAAATGGAATCATATTTGAGTTTTAAGTTCGTAAATAATTTACACCTGATGATGGTTTTATAAAAACTGAAACATGTTGTGTAAAAGATGTTCCAAAATGTAAATCGATCAATCGATATGGAACATCAATGATATTTTATTATCTTAATTATAAGAAATTTTAAATATTGTGATAAGACGGATTAAAATAAATAATTGTTATAATATTCACAATATGACGCAATTACACTATCTTATAAATAAGTTATACTTACAAGTAAGCTAATTTGGCTCAGAGAACAAATTGGTTTGAACTGCGCCGGTAATAATTTGGATATATTCGACTCTAGTAATTTAAATACAATTAACGTATTACTGAGTCAGTTAAAATTGATTAATAAACCAAGTTGTGATAAGATTATACACATTTAATATAAGCTTACATGTTTATATATAAAGTCTTATCTAAACACTTGAAAATCAACCGCACCTAGACCTAACAAAGAACTAGGAACTGACACTGTAAACCTCATTTTCTTGAATGACGGCATCACCGAATCTTCCTTTCATTCTTTGACTTAGGAAACTGATGGTCGAGGAGGTTTCGTTTCTATGGATTGGCCACTCTGTTTCGGATTGTATATGCACCCCATTTCTACGTCTCTCGCAATTTCCTTCCGTCTTCTTGTGGGTCTTTTCATTGTGTTCAATTGTGCCCGGGATATGTACCCTTGCTCACAGTCTGTACACCGACCTTCATTCTTTCCAGAACATTTCGTGAAGTCACATATCACACGAAGAAAACCATTTATTTTGAACACCTTGAAAGGACACTTAGCACTAACTTCGAAATCGCTTAAATGTTTCCTTTCGTTTTCGTGGGTTCTTAATTCTTTACGCAAGTCGTAATACGAGTCGTAATAAGCCTTTAACTCTCGTTTGGACCTTCTCGTTCGTTGCATGGCGTCGGCAAACCGCACAGCAGCTGTCTCTATCGTCAGGAAGTGCGTTATAAAAAAAATGAAGCTCGCTGTCCGCATGAAGTTACTGGATGTTTGTTTCATGATGTTGTAAAGGCGATCAATCGAGCAGGTTTTTATATTCCAGCCAATCCAGACGATTTACGTAACTTATGACGTCACGTCCTAAACCACAGATTTTATCCTCGGTTCAATTTGGTGACACACCACTACGACGTCACAAAGTCTTACGTCTTTTTTGTGTTATATCCAAAATTTTCAAACGCAGGTTCTGATTAAAAATTTTCCCTGTCGGTTTACAGGAAAATAAGATGGAGTTTATATATATTCAATACACGGACTGAAGATGTATTGTTGCGATTCCTATATTATTATTATTATTATTCAATAACGACGATATGACAATGCAACAGTTACTGTTAGACTTTGTCGTTTTCGTACCGACGACTGCACTGATTTGTCACAAACTGCAGTATTTTACTTTCAAAAATGTTAACTTATATTCATTCGACTTTTCCCCACTCCACATCGTCTTTCTGTGCTTCCGATTGGTTGAACTTCCTACCCACGCGCGCAAGTCTATTTAACGTTATCACTTAGTGAGACACCGGAAGATTATGAACTCTTTTATCAAGCATGATTGTTTTGTGTTAATGTTGAACTCAAATAAAAAGAAATCCCTCACTATCCGGGGTTCCTATCCAGATTTCTTCAACGACGGATTTTAGTTGTATTCATACGCGGTTTTCAAATTGTGTTCTATCAAAATAATTAGGTAGTTTCAGCGGTAACAGATCAGTGTTTGTTAGCGGCAACGCAAATCAGTTTTCGGGGTTCGAATCTGCGGTACAACGTTTATGACATTTTTTACATATTCTACGTCTGTGGGTTTACACATTTGTGTTTCGCCAAGAAACAGACAGGTCAGACTCTGATGAGTTTTAACATCGGCCACTGTTACTCTAGATTCTCTCATAAGGCCTTGGTCTTCAGAACCGCGTTTTTCCCCTCCCCCCTCTTTCTTCCAGCCACGATGCTTTCCATGAACGTAACGACTACTGCAGAAGAGGACTGCTGTACTTTTAAAGAATTCTATTACCTACCTATGAATTAAATGCAAAACCGATACGAAGATTAGGTAACAATTGAAGCTGCCTAGGCAGCAGAGTGATGTGGGAAGAGAAAAGTTATTTTCGGGCTACCAGCCTTATCAGTTGCTTTAATGGAGGACACACCAACGTTTCGAGAATCATCTTCCTCGCCGTCCACAGGGTACTCAGACTGAACTTCAGTACCACTTGAAACGGCTGATAGCCCGACAAGAATTCATTATACATAATCGTCGTGGAAGCTTCTTATCATAAAGAAGTAATATGAGTGTTTCAATATCAGTAATTCAGTTGACTATTAGTGCTAAACCAAGTTACAGGCGTAATACTGCCTGCCAAATCCTTTATCTTGACAGCTGTTCTTCTATCAGTGAGTTCAATGTTACAAAAACCATTAATTTGAACGCTGTAATTTATGAATATGCGTTTGTTAAACCAAGAAAAGACACATCGTAAATTTTCAATTGTACATGAAAAATGTTAATAAACTGAATAAAATGTTATATCTACACTATGTGAATAAACCCAAGTTTTCAAAGAGAAGAGAAAATTGTGTTTCACTAGGATATCTTTCGAAACTAAGGCACACCAATGCCTAAACCCGCTTTTGATTAAAAACAAGGAACTAAAAGTTTATGAATGTAAAACCAACCTTGTCATAAGAGGATATTTACATTTTTACATAATTTAAGATTGAGAGTGTAGGCTTATATGTAATCTTGTAATCCACAATATCACTCGTAAAACGCTTTTGTTAAAACTTAAGTGTACTCAACGCTTAGGTAATCAAGAAGCTATCTTCCTTTCGCGAAACTCGACAGTGCACTACCGTGTCCACAAGACAGCCTGGCACAGGTCTTTATTTTAAACCAAATGAATCAAATACAACTTTTTCCAAAATGTCATTCCCATCTACGCCTAGATTTTCCGAGTGGTTTTTTTCCCTTTCCAACAAAAATTTTTAACACTTCTCTCATCCTCTCGAATTATAGCTACAGGATCTGCATTCAGATTAAAGTAATTAAATGGCAGTATAACAGCCAGCAAAACTACAAAATCGGACGTCACGTTACGCCCAAGTGCAGTTCTTATGCATTGAAAAGTGATCAGCTTCGTTGTCTTGTGTCCAGGGGATGTCTAAGTGTCTAACTAACTCAATTGTAATAGAATCCGCAGGTCCAACTGCCCGCCACCGGCCACGATCCTGAGCCAGCTCCATCCATTTTCCATTCTATATCCCATCTCCCTAAGAATATCTTGATATTATCCTCCCATCTCCTTCTTGATCTGCCTAGTTGGTGTTTTCTATAATAATTTCCCTCCAAAATTCTGTTATTATTAGATTGTTTAAAGTGATAATCCCATCATTATTAACAATTTATATGAAACTCTGATTATCACTGTTTCTAACATCCCAACTGCCTACACTGGAATCCCCTAGTAAAACATTAAAGCGGTAATTAGTTTCGCAACAAAAATTTATTTTTATCATTATATGGAGAATGCTGTAACGCCAATTATATTGGAAATAACATGGCAAGAAACTGACAAACTGAAGTCAAATGTGGTACTAGACACTTATGCGCCCTAGAAAAAGTTTGAATATTACGCCCCCCCCGTAAAACACAAATTTTTCCTTTCAGTCATAACTTCAGTATATTTACAATGTAGCGGTATAACATAAAATATAACTCAATAACATTTTTTAAGTACAATGGAACACTAGCAATCTAAAGTTCGTTTTAATAGAAGCTCATTTAAGATAAGCCTTGTTCATTTAGGTATCTGCATACGCAGTTGAATCTGTAGATTATCTAAGAATGTAGGCTTTAGTTTAAATTCACACATCATTTAACACAGTTCCTCTCCTCTTTAAACGAATGTGCAAACAAATGACAAATCAGTGAATAAGTGTATTAGTTCTGACTACCGTAATTGGTTATCTGTCCTTTTGAGATTAGCCATTTCACTCTGACACCAGTCATGCAAACAAATGACGAATCAGTGTATTAGTTCTGGCTACCGTAATTGGTTATCTGTGCTTTTGCGATTAGCCATTTCACTCTGACACCAGTCTGCAAGTTCGATGTAGCAACGAAATTATAATCATGAGGTACCGGGTTCTTAACTTCTCCTCATATTGTTTTCATTGTCTCCATTAGGCGCTTCAGAAGAATACAGAAATGTTACGAAGAAATATACCACGATAATGCAAATCCCCGGCGTTAACAACACAATTATCTCTCAAAAATATTTAACGCTACATCTTCGGGCATTCGAAAAATGTTCTTAGACTGCGACAATAGTAACTACGTTTCACTTATGGCCTTACCGACGATGTCGCGGAGTGCACCGGGGTAGTGGGTGGGTGACCACTTGATCGGAGGAACTCCCTTCGTGCCCAAGTCCCCCATAGCGGATATGGATGTCACGGTGGGTACTATACTCAGGCCTACAGCCACAAGTTCCGGCACTACGACGGGACCCACTACGTCGATGGAAGCAACCTCACGGCGCACCTATCACGGGGCTCCCGGTGACGTGTCCGGGCCGCTGAGTTTCACGTCTAGTATCATTGCTTCCCACGCCCAAGTTAAAACAGCAGCTCTTCCTGGGTAGGGACTCAATAAAACACCAGTGTACGTCTCCGAAGTGAGAAGCACGCATTTTCTTGGACGCGAAATCCGGCCCAGATTCAAGAGAGATCCTGACGCTGGTGTCTGAGACTACCAGTGAGACGGCGTCGATTACCCCAACCTGCAAAGCTTTTTAAAAGGCAATAAGGTCTCGTTTAATCTAATCACAACAAAAGATTCCAACACTTACAGAGTGATTATAAAAGGTATTTCCCCAAACAACCCTCCAAAAACCATTAAGAATGAACTACATGCACTTGAGCTGGTAGTTAAAAACGTTAACCCAACGACCGCATGGAGAGACAAAACGTCTCTCCCCATGCACATAGTCGAATTAGGTAACGTTCAATAGAGTCGGAGTGTCTCATAGCTGTCCCATCTCTACTCTTTTACTGTGGAATCTTACAAGTGACGAACCAAGCCGCTCGAGTGCGTTCGGTGCCAACATTCTCTTCACGTGGTGGCAAACTGTCAGGTCTCTCCAGTTTGTAACCAGGGTGATTAGGAATACTGGCAATGTGATTAGAGATCTGTGCCGACTTGCGCTCTGTGCTATGTCGATGAGCAGACCTCGAAATACAGGGAGTTCCCCTTCTTCCGTGAACTTACGGAGAGGGAGACGAAGTACAGACCTCTACAAGGAAACTCAAAACGAAGTACTGCTAGATCGCCCCCTAGTGCGTGCTGCGAAATGCTTGGAGTAGGCAACTCGACCTTGTAAGCACACAAATAACACGTCCGTCAACACATCCCTACATTTTGAACCAACCACCGCAGGTCTTACGGTAGCACTCCGGGCAATCCCGCGGCATGCCGACGCAACGCTAATTGGCCGTGTTGCGTCCGGTCCAACATTTCAACGCAATTCTTTCTATGTGCTACGTCTGACACACTTTAGTAATGACTACCGATGATGTAAAGCCAGAAAAAGTAGTGGGTTGTACTGTTGACGGCTGCGAGAAATGTTTCTTATAACGATCTTCGCAAATACCAAATGAAAATTGGCCAAAATCACAGTGAATCTGAGCTAGAAATCTCATATGTAACATGAAAGCAGTAATTGTAGATTCGTATGAATATTAAGGTAAATCCGGGAGAGACGTCGCATTTTTTAGTTCGGTGGGTTCCGGTAATCCTCGGCCGATGGCAGTAAACGTCCTTGTTCAGTGAGCCAAGAGAAATGCAAATCTTGTGAGTGCACGCACTGAAAATCGGTGCTGTTTTGCAATAGTTATAACTGATTTTACGCGATGATCTTGTTAATTTTATGCTCGAAATTATTTCTATTTTTCATAAAATGTGTCTTTGCTAGTTCCAGTCCAATTAACTATAAAATCGCGATACATTAGAGGTTTTCAGAGTTGTTGGTCTTGACTTTGCACGATGTGGCCGCCATGTTGGTCATTGGGTAAGGATAAGTGGGAGAGCGCGGCTTCTCTTCCTGAAGATAAGGATAAAGGCCGCAGGAAATTAATAATAATAATAATCCGTGGCGTAACAGCTCCAGAGAGCCAAAGCCGACTAGCTTGACTGCTGGCCTCACGTTCACATGCCTAAGCAGAGGTAAACGATCATTGTCTAACGTTTAGACTCTAAATTCAATGGTTTACACTTTGATTCCAAGCAACCTCTGGAACATTTCTCTTTCAATTTACTTACTTAATAACTGAAAATTAATTAGAATATTCATTACCCTTTTAATTTTTATGGATATTCACATATTTTTTCCATTTTAATGTTCATATTAATTCATTACTTTGAATGAAGTTAATCAGTTTTCATTTAGATATGTTTCTTTTTGAATTCACAGGATATTTTCAAAGAGCGGCATCTCTCCGGCATCTCCGGGAGAGACGCAGCAAAGACAATTTTTTTATCGCTCTGTTTCTCTGAGAATTTATTTGCTGTAGACATTTTGTTTATGGCTTAGTATAATAGAGGTCTTAAATATATCTCTGAATTTTCAGCCGTTTTGACCGTTTTCGGATTGAGTTAAAACAAATGTTGCAAAAAGTGCGGCATCTCTCCTGGAATTACCCTAGTAAGGGTAATCAGCTTTATTGTACTTACATATAAAACCACGTAACGTAGGAAGCCCATACAAATCTGAAACAGACAAAAACAATCAATGAAAACGATATATAAATCAGACTCCTGAAGGAAATATTAAAATTCATAAACAAAATATAAGTTATACTTCTGAAAGAAAATAATTTAAGATTATTGTAAACTATAAAGTCAACTTCTATAATGCGACATTTCAAAAACTGTTTGGTATTTGTCTTCAACATTAGTACAAATAAATTATAAATTAGTAATTTCAATACTACTCGCCTAATTTCGATAAAATTTGAACTGCAAACCTGCGCTAAAATTAGTCGAGAGAATTTATTTTTGGTACGTACTGTTCCGACCAACAGGCTTTTAACCTCTACTAAGAAACTGACAGTGAATTTAGAGCTGGGGAATTGGATAGTTGTAGCATATCCCAACCAAGGTGAATGTGTATGTGGCGAAAAAAGGAACTAGTGGCTCTACCATTTTATTTATTAGCCAGACACAAATATCAGAGACCAAGGGATCTTCCAAATAAATACAAACAATAAAATCAAGCATTTAAGAAACAAATCGAACAAAGACCAGGAGGATCACAACACACCAGAACAGATGAACTACGAAGGAAAGCAAACAAACACGAATACGATGATTGTCTTCTGAGATTTTACGCCGTGCAAATTGGTAAAAAATCGCACACATATCATAAATGCTTGCCTCCTCCATTATCAGCTTGATCCTTGATGATGGAGGCAGCAAGCACCTCTGAACTTCGATTAACTCCTACTGGAATGCACGGCGCAGCAACTCAAAACACAGACATCTTCAAACCACAAATAAATTAAATTAATATAGGTGCAGAAGATATTTCTTCGTGATTCTGGAGCACAGAGCTTGACGGTGTGGCTTCAACAGCCAATGGAGATACCGCAGCAAATAGTGTGAAATCTTGTCCCTCGCGTTATGGAAATAATATATTTTACGGGGGTTGAAGACACGGTGCTTAGGAGAACAATTGGACCAAACATAAAAGAGGTGACGGGAGGCTAGAGGAAACTTCATAATGCGGATAATCATAATTTGTGCTTCTCAGCAGATATTAAGAATATACGTCAAGGTGGATGAGATGAACAGGGCACGTAGCACATGAGTAGTTGAGAAATTCGTACAAAATTATAATTGGGAAGCCTGAAGGGAAAAGACCACTCGAAAGACCTAGGCGAAAACGCGAGTATAATATTAAAATAGATCTTAATAATACATTATTTGAGATGTGATTGGATTTGCCTGGCTCAGGATAGGGGTGGCGGGCTCTTGCGATCAAGGTAATAAACCTTCTGGTTATATGAAAAGTGGCAAATTTGTTGACTAACTAGTTTCCCAAAAAAATACTCTGCTTCACGGTGTGATTGTGTTTGTTTACTTATTTGTTACAAGTAAATACAGAATTATTACATTACATCTATGTCCGTCATAAACTTACAAATGTGGCAGTTGTCTTACTAAAGCAGCTAGCAGAAAAATGTGGGTCCTGAAAAGAATACATAACTTAAACTCGCAACCAGAAGGACGGCATCTCAGCAATCACACTAGCTAGGTTCTTATATACTAAATTTCTTCCACAAACAAGTTACTGTCTGACGTCAAACTCTCGCTTTCAAAGAAAAGACATTAAATTTACTTTCTCAATACACCATCTAACACAATCAGAATTAAGTGCCTCGTCTTTTTCCCCTCCAGAAAAGATCGCAGGGTGTTACGCGAAGTTTCACAAATTGGAAGGCATTTTCAAAACTCCAACAAAAGCCTTCTTTGTTCCCTTATTCCGCCATAGGTCATAGGGTCTCATCTTTCAAAATCACGTACTTTTCCGTATTAATTCTTAACATCAAAACACGGGTGTCGATCATAACATCAGTAGCAAATCCACCGACAATGATTTTTCCAACAATTTCACTAAATAAGAACCTATGTTTCTTCTGCAGGGTGGAGCACATACCTTCTTTAAAATCTGCTAGTGCGTCCATCTTGGCAAGAAACTGCTCTCCTATTGAAGGAACCCAAAGTTTCATAACATGTTCGTAAGAGGCGGTCATTGTCAATCGATATGAAATATCACATCAATATTAGAAGTTATCATATCGGCATTGCGTGGTTTTATTGGATTAAAAAAATTATTTGCTTCAGCCTTATACACAATTCCTATTATTTTTACTGCGAGTTGTCGTACATCAATTTATATTGTAATGTAAAGTTCCACTACTGATTAAAGAGTTTTGACTAAATATCAGTGATATAACTACTAGCCCTATAGGACATTAATAACAAAAGGTGGGTGGTAAACATCCGGCCTTACAATACAAGTATCAATAAAGTTAATACCCAACTCAGTGAAGTTCGTAAATACTAGGTCTAGGATTTGTTATAATGAGTTAAATGTTAATATCAATATAACCGTAAATCAAGCATACAGGACTGTAAGATGTTATAACGTCTGCTCTACCGACCTAATAAATTATAAGTTTATAACAAAATATTACTTAAATCCGTATGTGCTTTTCGTGCGTTTACATACTAATAGAGTATTCGTTACAGTATGAACTGAATTATTTTTAATTAATCTGAAAAATATCAATCAACTACGTTTCTATTTAATATTTATTTAGAGTATATAGCTGATTATTGGATAGAATCGTATTAATTAACTGCAATTATATCCTCTAATATCGCAGCGTATGTGTTTCTGTTTGTTACAAACCATGAGAAACTTTAAATTACGTCTGTATTCACAAGTAAATAAAATCAAAATTAAAAAAATATTTACCGAATCTTATCCAACGTCTAAGTCTTCGCTTGCTGTGTACCTTCATTTGACTTGCTACAAATACACCCAGATTTAACACTGATGTTTGTATTGGTTCCTATGAGTACGATGTTCTGTTCGCATACATCAGGTTTTACTCGACTTCTTCACATTCTAGTTCATCAAACTTCACTAGCTTCACCGTGAATGAACACAATGCCCTTTCAACTAATTCGGATGCAATAGATCGTCTTTCAGTGGCTGAAGGCAATGTTTCTGTTTCTGAGACCAAAACAAACATGGCGGAACAGCACAGTCGACGGTCTGCGCATGGGCGAGCAGACGACGGCAGGAGCAGGGTCTGATGGTCCAGGTACGAGGTTATGGCTCCAACGACCTGTATTTCTTGTAGTAGTCAAATATTTTTTAAAGCTGAGGTAAACGGAAAATTACCACTCTAAATCTGAATCCTTCACAAAACTTACAGCTGCTTTAATCGCTACATTCAATTTTCTGTCTAGCCATACTGAAGCAGGAAACATATTTCACGTATTTTAAAAGCACGGGCACAGAAAATAAGAATGGCCCAGTGTTTATAGGACATATAAGTCACGTATTCATATATTAATATCCTTCTAAAAATGTTAAATAAACTGGCGTGATTCCACTGCTTCAAGTGAAACAACTTATTTCCGTTTCAAGTGTCTTTCAGTTTTCGTTGTCATGTTACACTTTGCGTACGTGACCAAAGAAACGTAGTGTACATTATCTTTATTCCATCAGTTTCTTAAGGGTGTACGTGACCAAATAAACGTGGTGCGCATTTTCTAGAACCCAGGAATCCGTAAAAGATCCCTTTACCCGGCAGATTTGCATGGTGTAACAACACGTCATTATTCTCGACCTATTTCAATCCGAGATAAGGAAATCGGTTGATTCATCTTTGTACTAGTTCATCAAGGAAACATTCCATGATGCACCATGCATGTTTCTGAATCGCTGTTGTAATTAACGAAATGTCCCTCAAAAGTACCGATTAGGTACCTGCAAAATAATATAATTCTTAAGAAGTCAAAAATAAATTCATGAAAGTTTAGCGTTTGTTGATCAAGGTTACTAGCATTTAAAGTAATTCACCTTATTATGAGCCTCATTTTATGACGCCAACGAAACTAAGGGTCAATTGCACATCTTCTTCTTAAAGATTGCAGACCGATGGCGACTACTTATATTTTTTATAATTACGATTTATAAAATAGCACATACGGAAGTACATTTCTAATTAAAACATAAATATTCTAAGTATGTTACTAACCTAACCTAACCTAACCTAACCTAACTGTTTTCTTAAGTGCGCCTTATTACTCGCGGGTGCCTTAAATTGTTGAATCTGTTTTATTCTTTGCTGAATCCAAAGATAAATGCACCAAAGTATTGATAAACCTGTCAAGTTTTAGCATTTTTTATCACTTAAACGTTGCCATTCTAAAATCTGTACTTCGTTACAACAAACAAGGGTCATTACATTTGCACTCAGTTTTAAATTACACCGAATTTCTTCCCAAACTTTTTTTTGTCATCTCATGACCACGTCCAGAGTATCATGAATGATTTATTAAAGATGGGAAATATGTTCTTAATAAAGCTAACGTGCGTGAGATGCAGATCTATCAAAAAACACAGGGTCTTCACACTTGTTTAATGTTTGTATGCCTTAACCAAAACTGCTGAGTCCTTAACAATTCTTTCAACATGTACCATACTAGAACATTACCCATGGCCTTCATCATGTACCATACTAGAACATTACCCATGAAGAATAATGGTAAAATCTAAATTAGGATTTACAAAGACGTTTCACCGACAAGTTCAACAAACTGGCATATAAAAATTAAAATCATTGCTTATCTTCAGTTAACTAAAGAATATAATACGATTTAATGTAGTGTAAACAGTGATTTTAAAAAAATATCATCAACCAACCCGCCAACACAAATATTTCAACATATCGTAGGCTATTCATTGTAGTACTTGATTTGTCTGTAATACAAAGTCAAGGTCCTCATTTTATGCTGACCTGTCATCAGCTGATTTCCGATACACAATCAAATCAATAGAGAAGAAAGAAAACAACATTTAAAAAGTTTATTCTTACGTTTCAGTGACGCTCATACCTCTACAATGTCAGCAATGTAATAGTATTTTAAGAAACGATCACCAAACAACACCAATCAGATAAGCCTATGTACCAAAATCATATGGACCTTTCACATTAAAATGTAGGCATCCTACACCAAATTTAATCGAAAACCATTACGTAATTTAAGTCATGGAACATGCAGGCAGACAAACATGACCTAATTATATTCGTAAACAAACTGTGTAACAAAATAGGAGGCCTATAAACATAAATTTAAGCATTGAAGTAAAATATCAACGGAAAATTAGACTTTAAAAAATATTAACGGAATGTTATGTCAACTGCTGCTTCGCTTATACCATCTAGAATGTTTACTTTCTAGCGTCATAACCTTGCAGCTTTCCTTCGCTTTGTTATTACTTTAAAATTTACGTTTTGATTTCATAATGTTATCTGATGACAGTAACATAAACAATAAAACAGGAAAAACAACACAGCAAGAGGAAGAAATCGCTGAGTAAAATATTTTCACTCTTAAATATTCTAAATAAACAAATTCTGTTGATCACACAATACACAGGCAAAAGTTAAACACTCTATACATTTTTAGCCAGCAGTGATATTTTTCGTATGCTGCTAAAGCGTGTTTGGCAGACCATGTATTGCCGAATTCTCTGCGTTCAGGAAATAATTGTTGGCATTTATTTTCACATATATTTAAACCCGCTCTGAACAAAGCCGAGTTAGAGGAGAGTTTACTACAGACTGTCCCAAAAAGATATTACACAAATTCAATTAATCCCATAAAGAATTTTACACAACTAAACCATTAAATACGTCAACATTGACACTTTGTGAATTAGCAAACACAGTTTATGTTTTCAAAATGACCACCGTAAATGTCTTCCGCAAACACAACACACGGATATCGATAACAAAGTTAATATTCCTTATTATAATATGTATATTTATTGTTATTACAAGATCCGTCCAAAAATAAAGACTATAAAACAATCCGAAATATCCTAGACATTTGTAGATGGGTGAGATTCGATTCAGAGAGCGATCTTGAAGTAACAAGGTGATCACCCTGATAATGGAGGCAGTCAATAAACTTCCGACAGTCTACATTCTCAACTACACAGAAAACAGTCATCTTTACACCCAACGCCGTGGAAACCTCAATCTTACTTGAAGTAGTATTTCATACAACAAATACTCGTGCTAAAAGTATTGCATAACTCCACTGTAATGATTCAGAACTTGTTCTGTTCTAAAAGAATACGTATACAGTGCCTGAACAGTTGTCTAGGAAGAATGTAGCCCATGCAAAACTGCAGTGAAAGCGTGGCCGTATAACTCGTTCTGCACCATCCAAACGCGTCACTTAACTAACTTATCCTCCTCCCACTTACGTAACGCAGTACCTAACATTTAATAAGCCACCATAGTATATCTTAGTGCAGATCCAGTCTCACTGCACCCACTTATCATGTCACGTGAAGATTCCGACTCCGTGCGTAATGACTCCGATCGGGGACTTCCACCACGCTTTACCCTTGACTGCATAACTCGAGGACCGCGGGCCTCTTTCGACGCTCCATCGTCTCAAATAGGCTATAGCCCATCAGTTCTGAGTTATAATTGACTCTTGTGACGATAAAAGTCTATACGTGCATTCGGGAAATACCCGATTCGGATCCCGGCCTGATAATCTATTGTGTCATTTGAGGTCCTTTCATGATTTCTCTCAGCCTGCACGTCAGTGTCGGGGTAATACCTTGAAATAGGCGGTCACCACGTCGTTTCTTTGTTCATTCTCCTTCATTTCTCATTCCCTTTTATTGCATGTTTCTTCCCACCTTCCCTCATTCTTAATTTCGTCCTTTTCGTGTTCCTTATCCCATGTTTATCTTTTTCTAATTCCTTTCTCTCTCTTATGATTTCCCTCTTCTTGTTCTTTTTCTGTTCTCCTTCTCTCTCTCTCTCTCTCTAACCATTCTGTTTGCTTTTAAATTTATTTACTTTACTACTCTCTTTTATTTCACACGTGTCCCTTCCTTTCTTTCTGCCCTCAC